CTGAGCAATGCCCAGGCCAGCACCACTACCTGCTACTCGGGGGGGGGGTGTGACCCGCCTGACCATTGTGCCCCAGGAGGTCACCACATCACCTACCCCTAAGGCTGGCTGTGCTCAGCAGCATGGATCTCAGCTCAGGTTTTAACACCTGCCCAAGAATCTGCATAGATGTTTGGGCAGGTCACATACATGAATTCTGCTGCCACAGCTACACTGCTTGCAGTCCCTGAGCTAGCTAGTCTAAAACCAGATATCTACAGCAGCTGCAGTTACAGAGCAGCCTTCATGACCACCTACTTTCTCTCTCCCTTTGGCCAGTTGGACTGAGTGTGACTCAGATGAGACATCTTTGCTTGGCATTCAGTGGTGGTTCTTGACCTAGAAAGAGCTGTGAGCCCTTCTGGGGATGAAGCCCAGACAACCAAACACAGAAAATGCCTTAGAAAATGTCACACTTATTCTCTCTGAATGTCTGTGTCCTGCACAGCAGTCAGATTTCTGTATTAGAGGCCAGTTTCATTTCAGCCAGTTTTGTAATATATTTTATTCCCATTCTTTTATTAAAGCATTTTAACAGCCTCCATGAGTGTTGTCACTGTGTTAATCTCGGCTGGAGCTGTGTTGGGCAAGGCCAACCCTTTTCAGTTGATTTGCATGGCGATGGTGGAGGTGACTGCTTTCTGTGCTACCAGATGGACCAACGTGTACATCCTGGAGGTATGGTAACCATGCTTTCATGCATGTGGGGAAAGGTTTAAGTGGGCTTAAACCATTGCATGTTTGTTGGAAACATTTCCTTTTGGTTTGATATTGACCCTGTGCTAACAGCTACACCTGACCTAAGGGCACGTGTCTGTTTTAGACTGAGCTTGATCCTGCCACTGCTGTGGGTGTCTTCACTCCACTATGTGTTCTGTACTCCTTGACAGAGCAGCTTCCCTCTGGCCACCTGCACCTCATCTCCCTTCTAGCCTATTCATTCTGCCACTGCTTTCTCCCTTGCTGCTCTTATCACAGCTCCCTTATCTTTCTGCACTCCCTTCAGTGGCTGATTCTTTCCTTTTAGATCAAGTGCAAGCTCCTTGTCTTCACCTTCAAGGCTCCATCTCCAGCAAGCTATCTGCTCCTTGATTCTAGGCTTTGTTCTTGTCTAATTCCTTCTTTTGGTTCCTTCATTCACCAAATAATAATCTGCTTTATACCCTCGTTCATGCTGAGTGTCAACCATGCTTGGAGCTGTTTCCTATACCCTGAGCCCCTCTCCCTTTCCTTCAGTCACATCCTCAGGCTAGAGAAATGCTTCTAGAGAGTATTTACGTAACTCCTAGGAGTTATGGTGATTGCCATGATTGCAATGGCAATGGTTGCCGGTTCCTTGAGTTATATTATGAGCCATGTACAGGCCTGTGTAAATAACACATTCACCCAGAGTGCTCCTGAAAATTACATAAAAGATGGTGCAGGGGTGACATTCTTCAAGTAAATGAGGAAGAAATCTCAGCACACCCCACAGAGATTCAGAAGCATCATTTTACTCATAAATAGGATATTTTTATCGTCTGCAGATTGAGGAACATGTAAGCCTGATGCATGTTCACATATTTGGGACCTTCTTTGGTTTGATGGCCTCCTGGTGGCTCACTCAGCCTTCATTGAGAAGAGAGACTGGAAAGGAGGGCTCTGATGCAACTTCTGATTTGTTTTCAATGTTGGGTAAGACATTTACTTTAACATCTCAGCATTGGGGGAGAGTGGAATGACTCTGAGGACTAGCATGGAGCCCTGAGGACACAAAGGTTTTATTTCAAAGTTGTAGCATCAAGTGCATCCTAGTGAAGATGAATTGCTAGCAACTTTTGTAGGAACAGAATGTATTTAATATTAATGGGAAACAACAACATAAAGACATTGTTTGCCAGGGATAAACTTAAGGATGCCCTCTCTGGGGAGCTACATCCTGCACTAGCAGAGGAATGGATTCACTGATCTTATAGGTCTTTTTCCACCTCTGTCTCCTGATTTCAGTACATGCAGTTGATTCAGTTCCTTGACTGTACACACCAAGATAGGCCATCAAGAGGAGGAGCTGATTCAGGGTGCCCACTGGAACTTCACCATATGCATGCTCAGCAAGCACACATCTAACAGAGCCTGGCAACCTTTTCCTAATAATAAAAGAGGAAAAATTAAATGCTGTTCTTGCTGAGTCCCCAGAGCTCTTGCTCTGCTGTGGAATTCTAAGTGATTGGTTATTTTAAATTAACTCATCAAGGCACTCTTAAGCCTTCTTTATAAGTTTAAAACCAGCTTACTACCCCCAAGTGCTCACTGTCTAAAGTAATTATGCCATCACTTCATGAATAATTCCTGAAAGCAGCTCTCAGAGAGCAGGCACAAATAAAGGACCGAGCAGGTGACTTCATAACAGTGCCTCCTCGTACCGCGCCTTTTAAGTGGGGGTGAAATGTGCATGATCTGCTCTCAAAACTTAGGGGTAAATAAACCAGGAATGCTTTATGCCTATTGGTGGTTAGGTCTTGCAAGGAGCTGCTTAATGCAGGGGAACATGAGGTACACAGTCTGAACCCCCCTCTCCTGCATTCAGTCCTAGTATAACATTTGCATTGTCATAATGGAAATCAGTGATGGGCTATTCAGTTCCGTGTGTGAGTCAGGACAGTGACCAGTGCTCGAAGCAGTTGTAATCCTATTATGCGGTGCTATAGCAAGGTAGGAAAAGGCATTTCTTCATGAACTTTTGCTGTTTGGTTTACACCTCGAGAGTGTATCTTATGATTTCTGTTTAGGCAGTGTACCAGGTGAGATATCACCCTGAACAAGACCCAGGCATTATTTGAATCTGTCTTAAGCTTGCCAAATAGGCTATAAATAGGACTTGGGTCCCACAGGCCATGTGCTGTGCACACATTTATGTCTACTTTATTTGCCTCTGAACTAATATGGCACTTTGTGTATTCAGAGCACCATAGCAATACTAATGCATCTGCAGCTGGGAGTTCTGTAGGTAAACTATATGAGTACTGCCCAAAACCCATCTGAACAATGGGAGTTCAGATGGGTTTTGGATCAGTCTACGGCTAAAGTGTTTTAAGAGGGGACAGTAGAAATAAAAGAGGTTTAAAGTTACAATGCTTTATCTCTGCTTAAAGAGGAATAGAGTGGACAGAGAAACAGTTATATAGGGTCAGCGGGAAAGTGGTAAAGTACTTTCTTTAACTGCTTGTCCACACCCAGAGAGGAATGGGATGGAGGGAGCTGCCTTGAGGGCACAAGACCCCTCTAAAGATGTACAGTGGTGACTGTTGCCTGGAGGACAGGAAAATGAAAGGGGAAAATGGACATATGGCAAGAGAAGGAGAAAGAAGTGGTTGGGATGTGGGAACTTCAGAACTTTTAGGTCTGGATTTTCCATTAGCACCCTTAAGCAAGACACTGGTTATTTCATCTTGCAAATGGACATTACATTGGTACTGGTACCTCATTTCTGCTGATTTTACTTAGACAGAGGCTTGCCAGTCTCTGCATCGATACCTGCAGTATATCAATGCCCTGGCACCTGTTGCATCTTTGAGAACATAATAATCCCCAGGTGTAAGATAAGATTATGTATTCCTTTTGACTTGACATATTAGTTGCTGTTGGGTGAGTGACACCCTCCCAAACATCTTTGAGGGCTGTGCTTAAAACACAGCCTGTAAACAAACTGAAACCGTCATCTGCCTTGTTGCTTGTAGTAGCATGGGTCACGAGTAAAGGTAGAAAGTCATCCTGCAAATTGAGAATGTTGATAAGAAGATGAAAGATATGTGTGTCCTGACTGCAAATAGTGGTATAGATGGGGAGGCCTCCACAGGCAGAAACGTAGTGATAAGTGGAATTTGTCTATTTCCCAGGGACATGCCTGATGGGAGGTATAGAAATAACACCACACTTCGAGAAAAGCCTCAGCCAGGAACAAAATCTGGTCAGTGATTATCATTGTAGCGCAAAGTCATTTAGCTTTTCAGAGCAAATTAAGATCCCGGAGCCTGAAAGTTGGCCTGCAGGGTTTAGCTCAGCCCTCAGGTGGACAAGAGGAGTAAAAAGCAGTAAAAGTATTTGGTGACTTTCAGGAGCTTGTCAGGGTTGGTGTCAGCTGTGATATTCTCAACACCTGTAATTTGTGCGACTTCTTAATCAATTCTTAATGAGACCACTTAAAATGTACCTGGAAGGCAAAGTGCACTCTGTGTAATTCAAGCACACGGTCATACATTAGCTATCAAGACTGCTTAGAGTCTTCTGCAGCAGAGATGGGGGAACACAAAATAAAATATAGTTTGTGTCATCTATAAACTTTGATCTGTTTGGTCCAAAGTAGATCCAAAGGTCTTGAGAGCAAAATTGTGCTTGGGGCACAGTGTAAGCTAGTATGAGTGCACCTGCTGCCCTCTGCTGGATGCAATTAGATCAGCAGGTGTCTTATCTGCACATAAGTGAGTAAAAGAGAGGAAGGGAGTGAAAGAGGGGTTATATTGTCCTCTGAAGGCTGGCCCTTTAAGGGTTTTACTGTTGGCTGTGGCACATGCTGGTGGAGCACAGGGACAGAATGACTACTTTGAAGGATCTGTCCTTCCTAATAAGATACTTTTAGGTGTGTGTTTATAGCCATGGCTATAAACTCATCATGTACAGGGCTAAGCTGCTGCTAAGATTCCAGTGTGGCAAGCTTTAGGGCCTGTCAGTGTTGTGGAGTACCATCACCCCTTCTTCCAGTGAGGGCACTGCTCAGAAGTTTGAGTGTGAACACAAACCTGCCTGAAACAGGACATGATGGTGCCATTGGTGGTGTGAGAATCCTAATGACAACTGCATGTCTTTGTCTGCAAGGCACACTCTTCCTTTGGATGTTCTGGCCAAGCTTCAACTCTGTGCTCGTTGATGGGGTGGTGAAAAAGAGGAACGCAATCCACAACACCTACTATGCTATTGCAGTCAGTACTGTAATTGCCTTTGCACTGTCTGCCTTGACCAACAAGAATGGAAAACTCCAGATGGTAAGAGAAAAATGTAGGCTGCTCTGCTTAGAAACATGTCTTTATGCTGAAAGTAAAAAGGCAAATAAGCTAAGGCAGTGCTGGGCCCTCAATGTGACAATGGATCACTTGTTAGAGTGCTGCAGATGTTATCTGCACAGACTTCCCTAAAGGTAAAATTAGCCCCTACACAGGGTGCTACATACCATCTCCTCCCATTTAAATGCTCAGAGTGGGGAGTAAACAGTCCACAGGTGTTGTGTTGCACTGGGTGGGGGCAGCGCAGGGTGGGCCACAGGTGGAGGGCAGGTGCTCCCATTGGGCCCAGTGAGTGGTTCCTACTGCTGCATGCATGAATTTGTTATGTTAATCTGCAGACCCACATCCACGGTGCAACGCTGGCTGGTGGGGTTGCTCTTGGCTTCTCCGCTCACATTATTCAGAATCCTTGGATTGCAATGGTTTTGGGTTTCCTTGCTGGTGTGATCGCAGTACTGGGACCTTACTTTCTCAAGGTAAGGTTCAAAATCCAAAATACCCTTGGCACTAGTTGCTTGGTCTCTTGAAGTTCCACCCTGTGAGAGACCGTATGTTGATGACTGTCTGTCCCAGCCCTGAATTTCTATGATTCTGTGATTAATAGTCCAAAAGCTTGAGCCACAGATCCACCCGCAGAAGTTACAGTTCTTTCCAAAGGGAGAGTAGGCCTCAGGCTAGGATTTCTCTCCTTTTTCATCCTCCCCTCTCTCTTCTCTGCTTTGAGAGTAAGA